GTGGGTAAGAACCTCACTTCTTCAAGTCACTTGAAGAAGTGAGGTTCTTACCCACGAAAGCTTATGCTCCCAATACTTCTGTTAGTCTTAAAGGTGCCACAGGACCCTCTGTTGCTTTTTACAGATTCAGACTAACACGGCTACCCCCTGATACATAAATTGAGTTGTGTCTCCAGCATTCTTAACAGCCTCATTAAATTCATCTAAAATTGCCTTTGACGTGACTGGCTTATAAGGCTGTCTGCATGTTGATGCAGTCCAGAGGCATGGTGTTTTGCAGCTGTTTCATATAGGTTGTCAGTATTGGCTTAGCTCAGGGGTTCTCAAAGTGGGGTTCAGGACCCCTCAGGGGGTCACAAGGTTATTACATGGGGGGGTCGCGAGCTGTCAACTTCCACCCCAAACCCCGCTTTGCATCCAGCATTTATTATGGTTTTAAATATATAAAAAAGTGTTTTTAATTTATAAGGGGGGGTCACACTCAGAGGCTGGCTGTGTGAAAGGGGTCACCAGTACAAAAGTTTGAGAGCCACTGGCTTGGCTAATCAGTCTGGCAAACCAAGGCCCTCCACTTTTACTATATAAAGCCATGATATGTCCACATCTTGAATACTGCGTGCAGTTCTGGTCACCCCAGCTCAAAAAAGTTATATTGGAATTGGAAAAAGATACAGAGAAGGGAAACAAAAATGATTAGGGGTGTGGAACAGATTTCATATGAGAAGAGATTAAAAAGAATGGGACTTTTCAGCTTGGAAAAGAGAATACTAAGAGGGGATATGATAGAGGCTTATAAAATCTTGACTGATGTGGAGAAAGTGAATAAGGAAGTGTTATTTACCCCTTCACACAACACAAGAACCAGAGGTCACTTAATGAAATTAATAGGCAGCAGGTTTAAAACAAACAAAAGGAAGTATTTCTTCACACAACACACAGTCACCCTGTGGAACTTTTTGCCAGGGATGTTGTGAAGGCCAAAATTATAACAGGGTTCAAAAAAGAACTAGATAAGTTCATGGAGGTTGGGTCCATCAGTGGCTATTAGCCAGGATGGGCAGGGATGCAACCGTATGCTCTGAGGGTCCCTAGCCTCTGTTCGCCAGAAGCCGGGAGTGGACGACAGGGGCTGGATCACTCAATGATTCTCTGTTCTATTCATTCCCTCTGAAGCACCTGGAAAGTCACTGTCGGAAGACAGGATACTGGGATAGATGGACCCTTGGTCTGACCCCATGTGGCCGTTCTTACATAAAAAATAATTATAATAATAAAACAATTTAGTACAGAAACTCCCAAAGATAATGACCGCTTGAGGTAGCGATGATGTGAGATAATGACCTTGGCAAATAATGCATTTTAAAAATCTTGGCCTACTGGTCCAATGCTCTGGCCGTTGTTTGTCATGCCACCGTTCACTCTACCGCTCTGTCCCCAGTTCCCTGCACTGTCACCTGCTGCCACCTGCCACTATGACCTCTGCGAGTCGGTCTCTCGAGGTTCCACCCAGCTCTCAGTGATTTCAGTGGGAGAACCTCACAGCGAGTGCAGGCCGGGTTGTCTCTTCCACAGAAACACTGTCCCACAGCAGGTCTAAGCACTTAGACCTGATTATCCGTGATTTCAGCTGCAGTGGTCACTAGAAACCAAAGGATTCTCTATACTATGAAGTCTAATCTGTTCTCTCTCTAAACAGGAGAGGGGGCAGGTCAAATAGTGCCTGTGACTTAGGCAGAGCCCACACCACCAAGCAAAACACCTGTGCCCCCCCCGCCCCCCCCGCACTAGGATCTGGCATCCAAACCTCCTGCGTAGGGAGTGCGGTTCAGTTGCGGGTGACCAGTGCTTAATTTGTAATGAAAGAGGTGCCGGGGCTCAAGCAAGTTTGTTACTTTCATAACTGATGTGACAAGCCCAGAGGTCCCAGGGCTATGAACTGCCGAGCCTAGAGGTGCCGGGCTAAGCCCTGGCACAAATTAAGCACGGAGGGAGATCTCCTCATTCAGTCAGGCTAAGTACAGTTCTGCTGCCCTTCACTCAGACAATGAGGAGAACAACATTTCATGCCCCCCACATTTAAATTTTATTAGAGAATATTTAAAAAATAAACGAGACAGAAAATTTGAAGCGTTAGTTATTGGTCATTGGGGGTAGCATACAGAGTATAGGGGTATGTTGGTGTTTTGGGGCTGGGCAGCACACATAGTATATACACACTGCAATGTCCCCAATGAGGGGTGGGTAACCGGTGGGCGGGATCAGGAAACAGTCGATAAGCGGTGAGGGTCTATCACCCATACAGGAAGTAGAGACAGTCATGGGTATAAGTAAGTGGGCTGGGTAATGGGGATGGGGTGACCCTCACGTGGTGGGATTCAGTTAGGTTTGGTGGGTTCAGGGCTCAGGGGATAGAGTCCAGCGGTGGGGGGGGGTGCACGAGGTCTCCCCGGCTCACTCTCGGTATTGGTGGTGGCCGGTGATGTGCTCGATGTAGATGTCCCGGGACCAACGGATAGTGTCCGAGACCATTAGGCATCTCATGAGCCGCGCGTAATGACGGCCCACCCCACAGGTCCTCAGCACGCGTTCGTTACACGGGTCCCAGGCGCCCAGGGCCCCAACGAGCTTTTGTAACCCAACACCAGGCAAAATTGATCACTTGGGCAGCATGGCTCTGGCTGCTGGATACCTGGGCAGAGTAGGTGTGTGCATGTCAATACAGTCTGGTCCTGAAGCCTTTCCCCCCACCCCTGGCTCAGCACTAGCTGTCCGGGGAGAGCTCAGTCAAACCATGCTTACAAATCGTCATTTGAAATGATTAGATAGGCCAATGTAGCCGAAACGAACGTGCCGACATTGTCATAAATAACAGTTGTGTGAGGAAGCGAGTCTTTAGTCAGACTTTCCAAACCATTCTGCTTTCTCGGGCACCAGTATTTTCTCATATACTGTGTATGCTTTTAAAGTGTGTATTAATATTTCATTTTCAATTCAGATTTCCAACCAATGACTAAATTGGCAGCACTGCATGTAACGTGGGGGGGGGGGGGGGTTGGGAAAGTTCGAGGGGGGGGGTGTACGAGGTTCCCCGGGGGAGGGGGGTCGTAGGACAATCCCTGGTCCTTCCAACCCCACAGCTGGGTTTTCCCCATGGCTCCTGGCTCAGAACCAGAACCCAGGCTGGGCCTGTGCTCGCCCGTCTCCGGCGCAGGGTCAGCAGCCACCCGTGCCCCCTCCACAGGGCACAGCTCCCCAAGGCTGCAGAGCCAGAGGTGGGGAATTTCCATCTGTTCTCCCTGGTGAATTCACTGCACATGCATTGTTCCCAAAGGCCAGCCTTGATGTCACGCTGCCCTCTGACCCCGCTGGCCTGAGACTGCTGTGACACATGCGGGCTCTCACAGAGCGACTGGGAGCAGTGGTGGGTCTCAGGCGAGCACGGCCTTTTGGGGCCACCGTGTCCCCTGCTCTCGCCTCAGGCTTGAGCGTTGGCTTCCCCGGGCCGAGCTCTGGAGATGCTGGATTCCAGCCGAGAAATAATCGCTGCGGAGGTTTGAAGCGGCTGCCCTGATTCCTGGCAGAACCTCCCCGTTCACATCGCTCCCTGACGGCTCTCCAGACATCCGGTCTAAGGGGTCTCGCTCGAGGAGCTCACAGCAGGAAACAGGGGGGTATCTGGGGGCTGAAGACCTAGTCCTGGAGGCACTGAGTCAGTGGGGCGAGGGGGCGGGGAACACGAGAGGGGGAATCTCTGGGGCTGGCACAGTAATGGGGATACTGGTTAAAGGGACTGTTTGAAGGCCCAGGCCTGAGTCCACGACCCCCTGTAAATTCCCTAATCAGTTTTCTGAGTTGAAATGACTTTACAAACGGAGCCCTTTAAGAAATTTTGTCCCTGGTGTGAAACGATCTGACAGGAACAACGCTGGGAACGTTCACGCTGGGGGGGATGAATTGAAATCTCGTGCACTGGGTGGGCCGGCAGGAATCTGGCGATGACGGAGACACAGGATGGCTTGGTGTTCCCCTGTTACAGATGGGGAAATTGAGGCACAGAGGCGGACAGGCTGCATCCGAGGTGCACAGAGGGTGTGTGGCAGAACAAGGATTCGAACCCAGGACTCCAGAGTCCCAGTCATTAATCACTAGGCACCGTTCCCTGCCGTCCAGGGCAGCCACGAAGACTTTCCTCATCCATTGGCTGCACTTTCCCATTCTGTTCATAGGAAAAGGTAACTGGGAATGGCACTCATGGCACCGTACTGGGATAATGGCAAATCCTTGCGCATCACAGCCGGAGTGAGTTTTTTCCCCGGCCGGCATTCCCGTCCCCTCCCCACAGCGCCCCACGCAGGGCCAGGCTGGGGCTGGAGGAGCTGGGAGCTCCCGTGAGGCTGACAGTCCCACCCGCTCCCCACAGCGCCCCCTGCTGGGAGAGGCTAGTATTTCACACTCTAAATCTCACTAACCCCTGTGTTTTTTCCTCCCTACAGTGCAGTCGGCACCAGACGTGGTAGCTCATTTCGGGGGGGACGTCACCCTGAGCTGCCTTTTCCCGTCCCGTCCCGGGATGAACCTCCAGCGTCTGACCCTCACCTGGCAGAAGGAGCGGGCCGGGGCAGAGGCCCTGGTGGTTCATAGTTATTATTATGGGAGGGACCAGCTGGAGAAACAGGATGAGGCTTATAGGAACCGGACCCGGCTGGATCCAAAGGGACTGGCCTGGGGGAATGCGTCCCTGACACTGAGGGACGTCCGCATGCAGGACGAGGGCGTCTATCTCTGCCACGTCACCTCGGAGCTGGGCAGGACGTCTGAACCCAGGGAGCTGAGAGTTGGAGGTGAGTGCTGGGGATGTTGCATCCCAAATGGTTTGGCTTCGGCTTTTAATCTTGGTGGATTCCTAGTTGGTTCTGGCTTGGATCCGGCTCTAACCACTAGGTCAGACAGCCCATGTCCTGCCCCTGACACCGGGTGTTACTCTCCAGGCCCAGACCCGGACCTGGCCGAGCGGCTCCAGGCAGCGCGGTAAGGGGGCAGGGAGCAGGTTTTGGAAGAGGGCAGGGGAGTTCGGAGGGTTGTGGGGGGGTGGATAGGGGTCGGGGCAGTCAGAGGGCAGGGAACAGGGGCAGCGGTCCCCGGGGGGGGGGGCAGTCAGGAAGGAGCAGGGGTTGGATGGGGCAGTGGGGGGCAGTCAGGGGCAGGGGTTCCAGGGGCAGTTGGGGACAGAGAGAAGGGGTGGTTGGATGGGGCAGGTCCCAGTCGGCCATCAGGAATGAGAGGAAGGGTTGGATGGGGCGGCTGGGGGCAGACAGTGGATAGGGAAGGGGGGTGGATGGGGCAGGAGTCCCGGGGGGGGGGGGGTCAAGAACTTTAGGTAGGTTTAGCATGCATCCGCATACATTATGCAATGTAATATATAATTTTATTATTTATATAGTTATGGAAAGTAAATAATACATGGAAGAAATGAAAGGTGTTTTTTTACATGGTTTTTTTATTTCTGAGTCATCCCTATCAGGGCCCCACCGAAAATGTTCGAATTGGGCCCCGCACTTCTTAAAGCCGGCCCCGGCTGCGGTGTCGGGTTAATCCACGTGCTGGGCGGGTGAATCCTGGAGCTGGAGCCCTCAGAGCCTGGCTGGAATCTCTCTGCGCTGAGGCTGCCCTGTATGTCCCACCTGCTAATTGCTGAAGCCTCCTTCAGTGACCCCAGTGTGAGCCCTGCTCCAGAGCGGACTCAATCCGGATTCACAACTCAGGGCAGGACCCAGCCCAGGGGGCACAATTCTGAGCCCCCTCCCTAAATCCGCCCCCATGTTTCTTCCTCCCAGCCACGTTCAGCGAGCCCCAGCTGACCTTCAACCTCTCCAGTGCCGGGGTCACGCTGACCGTCCACACAGGGGGCGGGTACCCCGCGGCCACGGTGCGGTGGCTGGACGAGGCGGGCAGGGACGTCACAGCAGAGGGCGCCACGGAGCAGCAGGTGGATGAACAGGGGCTCTACCACGTCACCAGCTGGGTCACGGTGCTGCCTGCGACCCACAGCGCCAGGCTGACCTTCGTGTTAACCCCTCGTGTGCTGGGGGCACCAATCACCCGGCCACTGAGCCTGCAGCTGAGCCCAGGTGAGTCCGGGAGGGGAGATCTGCTGGGAACCCTGAAGGAGAGTGGGGGCAGGAAGCCAATGGGGATGGGGGAGCCCCATCTATTCCCCCCAGTCAATTCCCCCCAATGGTAAATCCGCTCTGCCAATGCGATTGGGCCCCCGCCCCTTTCTCTGAGCATTCGCCCCAGCTGTCGTCAGGGCGCGACCCCTGCACTGCATCGCAGCCCCATCCTCTCTCTGTGTTGCAGGACTCCTGGATCCCCCGGCCTCCTGCCTTGGGGTCCGCCTGGCTGTCATCTGTGCCGCCTGCCTCTTCATCCTCCTGCTGGCTGTTGCGTTTCTCCACCATCTCCACCAGGGCCCGGCCGGATCCCGCCCCTGGAGGAAGGTTGAGGAGGAGGAGGAGCAGAAAGAGATCTCTTGCCCAATCCCAGCCAGCCCCAGCTCAGAACAAGCCGGGGCTGTGTCCTAGGGGATCGGCTGGGGCAGAGCTAGATCTAGCACCACCCGGGCACTGCCATCTCCTGGCAACTGAGCCCCAGAGGACCTAGGATAACCCCTGCTGCCCCGGCTCTACCATCCGGCCATGCCCCTCCACCTGCTGCCCTTGACCTTGGCCAAGAGCTGGGGGACCCACATCCTCTAGCAGCATCACCGCAGGGTCTCCGGCCTTCATCCTCTGCCCTAAGAATCACACTCCATCCACGGCCCCCAACGTGACGCGCCCTCCCCCTGGCAACACCCCTCCTGGGAACGGAGAGGCAGCTGCAGCCCCTGCCCCAGGCATGAGATGAGTGAATGAGCCCAGCAGGGCCGCAGCAGAACCGCCGCACTAGCCAGCCCGCGGGTTGGCGCACAGGGGCCAGGGTTCTGCGTGTCAGCCCAGCGGCAGGTCCCTGGCTGCCCAGTGCTTAGGCCTGCAGCTGTGCTCGCTCCTCTGCCTGCCTTGGTCCTGTCCGGCTCCCGCCCTGCTCTCGTGCCCGGCTTCTGACCCCTGGCTCCGGTTATTGGCTCGGCTTCAGCTTTTAATCTTGGCAGATTCCTAGTTGCAGCTTTGGCCTACGGCTGTGGCTTGGACCTGGCTCTAACCACTAGGTCAGACGGCCCATGTCCCGCCCCTGACACCGGGTGTTACTCTCCAGACTAACCGCAGCCGGCACCGGTGTAATCTCTTCTCTAGCTGTCCCTCGTTGGCCCCCTCCCCCGCACATACTGCGCCTTCTTCGTCAGCCGTCCCCGTCTGTGCTGCATTCTCCTCCTGGGACGGGCTCACCCGCTGTCCTCTTGTCTTGCATCGTGTGCAGGTTCCTATACCGCCCTCATCACCGCATAGCTGAGCGCCTGCCAGGTCGGGCACTAAGCACCGCGATTACGCCTCTGTCACGTGCTCTTTGTTCTCTCAGCCTCTCCCCAGACGGAGAAATGAGTGCACTGGAGGCTCTTGTTTTGGGCTAGTGGATAGGCTGGGCCTAGGCCATGAAGCGCTGTGAAGATAACGACCGGTCACTATCCTGCGGGAAGCCAGCGTGGAGAGCGGAGCAGAGGTGGGATGTGCTCGCGGCAGCTTGCCCAGCTGAGGAGACGCGCTACAGCGTTTGGTACTCGTCGGAGTCCCTGCGTGCCGGAGGCTTCCCGCCTGGGCCCATCGTGCTGCTGTTGTCTAGCCGGGAGGTGCCAAAAGCGCGAAGCTCAGGTCGTCACCCGCCAGGATGGACGGAGTCTCCTAGCCAGCCGGAGATGGCAGAAAGCGCCACGTGCGACCCAGCGTCAACGAGGAATCCCGGGGCGCTCCTGGCCTATGGGCCGGACTGGCCGGTGTGGGACGTGAACCTTCAATCAAAGGCGGTTGCTCCCGGCTGCGAATGTCCCCGAGTGCTCTCCTCTGCCCGCCTTGCTCGGAGCCCGTCTTAAAAAGTGATCTCGCCTGGCACGGGGCCATCAGGGGGGTGAGGCTGTGGGCGGGTGTGGTGAAGGACAGGTCGAGCTGGGAGTCACCTGCTGGTTGCTGGCGCTTGAGTCTGTGGTGTCTGACCAGATCCCCCAGTAGCTGCATGGTGTCGAAACGGACCAGAGAGAGAACTGATCCTGGTGGAACCGCTCTAGCCAGCGGTCTGGGGCAGAGGAGCCGTTCCCCATCGCTACTCACTGGGCGTGTCCGTTGAGCAATGGTGCAAACAGAAATAATTTCTTGCTGGTACGCTGCACTCATGGGAGGGACACAAGGGGGGGGGCACGTGACCTCTGCACGTGACTCCTCCCTGCCCTGCCCCCAGCCTGGGGCCCTGGCGCTCTCCCTGTCCCTTCCCCATGATCCATGTTACCTGGGGGGCGGAGGGTGCCTCTGTTCTCCTCCTGCTGCGCCGGAGACTTCTGCTGTACAGACCCCAGGCTGGAGGACTCAGGAGACACAGCTGTGTGGAAGGGCTGAGGGCGGTACAGCCGCGCCAGAGAAGCTGCTGGCGTGGGGCTGCCCTGCTCCTTTCACCACTGCGGGTCCCGGGAGAGCCTTGAACTGTAGGGCTCTCCTGGGAACCGCAGCGGTGAAAGGAGCAGAACGTGGGGCTGGCAGACTGCATAGGCGCCGACTCCGTGGGTGCTCCGGGGCTGGAGCACCCATGGGGAAAAATTGGTGCACCCACCAGCAGCTCCCCGCCCCACCTCCCCACCCCAGCTCACCTCCGCCTCTGCCTTCTCCCCTGAGCACGCCTTCCCCGCTTCTCCCCCTAGCTCCCAGCGCTGGGAGGGAGGAGGAGGGGGAACGCGGTGCGCTTGGGGAAGAGGCAGGGCCAGGGCAGAGATTTGGGGAAGGAGTCCAATAGGGGCAGGGAGGGGGCGGAGTTGGGGTGGGGACTTTGGGGAAGGGGTTGGAATGGGGGCGGGGCAGGGGCGGAAGGAGGTGGGGCAGGGGTGGAGTCGGGGCAGGGCCAGGGGAGAGTGTGTGGGGGGGTCAAGCATCCACCGTCACCGGGAAAAGTTGGCGCCTATGCTGGGCTGTACCGCCCCCAGCCCTGCTCAGCCCTGTCCTCTGGCAGGGCTGCTGTACAGACCCCAGGCAGGACTCAGGAGACGCAGCTGAGGGGAAGGGCTGGGGGCGAGCTCCTCCTGTGTCTTTGTGGTACGCTGTACTGGCTGTAAATATCTTACAGCGGACTGGACCGGAGCGCCCTCCTTGCCGTTGAGGAAGGAATCCAACCATGGGCTCCCGGCACCTCTCTCAGCTGCGTCCCACACTCGACAGGGTCGAACGCTGCAGAGAGCACCAGGGGATGGGGATGGGTATCTGCCCTCTCTCCTCAACAGGAGGAGACCATCCATCACTGCCACGAAACAATTTCAGCTCCGTGTCCTGGCCTGAATCCAGCATGGGTCGAGTCCCGCACGTTGGCTTGAGTCAGACGAGCCAGTGGGCGGCTTTGGAGCAAAGGAGTGAGGGGTCTGAGACCGGGCAGCTGTTGGCTACAACCGTCGGCTGCAGGGCAGGTTTCTGCAGCGCTCTCCTATGTGGGGAGGCGGACAGGCCGGTTTCTTCTCTCTATGGCTGTTTCAGCCAGGAGCGGCACCAGGGGTTCACGACTCTCTCACAAGCCAGGAAGAGCCTCGGTCGGGTTCCCATGTCCTGGACCAGGACTGTTTTGGGGTGTCCTTCATGTCTTGCCCAGTGACTGTCCCGAATGCTGGGATCGCGGGGGGCGGGTGTGGGCGGAGGGGGCCAGGCTGTATGAGGAGGTGTCCCAAATGGATGGATCTTTCCAGCCAAGCAGGAGGCTGGCTCTTCGCTCGTGTGGGGTGCGGCTCTGCGGCAGGACCCGGGCACTCCAGATCGATGGAGAGGTTTTCCACCCGGGACAGCCCCTTGAGGTGGGATTTGGCCACCTCTGGGGGCCAGTGGGAAAGGTCTCTCAGAGTGGTGTTTGGGGTGTTTCATCCTCTCTGAATCAGCCTCTGGTTTCCACTGTTGCCACTTCACCCAACCCAGGGCATCAGAAAGCGAGTGTGTGTGTGTGATGGGGAACACGGGGCCATTTGAGGGCCAGCCCGCCCATGGTTGAGGCTTGTGTAGAAAGGTCCTTGACCCCTTGTCCTGCAGGTGGGCACTGTTGGCCTGTAGCCAGCTTTGGAATTTGTTGGAGTGCGAGAGTCTCCGTGGTTGAATCAGGCTCGTTGGTCTTTCTTCTGCCTGTGCCTCAGTTTCCCATCTATAAAATGGGGATAACACTACTGCTATTCTTTGTAACATGCCATGAGAGCTGTTGCTGTTTCAAGCGAGGCGTTTAATTTATTATTTGTATTGTTTGTTAATTATTATTTGTATTGTTTGTTGTTTGTTATTTGTATTGTATTCTTAAATCTGTCCATCTTTGGCCTTAAAATCCATGAACATGTGTCATGCAGGGACTTAAGGAGATTGCCCTTTTTAGCGCAGCGAAGAGGCGACTTGATTCTGGTCTATCAGTATCGCCCTGGGAAGGAGATTTCTGAGAGCGGAAACACACTGGTCTGACCTAGAGCACGGTAGGGGCTGTGCCAGGAGACCCAGCTGGCTGGGCCCATGGGTCTGATCCAATGCAGCAGGGAGGGGCTTGGGGGCGGAATGAAAATACCCCAGAATTCCCCGTACGACAGAGCGGGCTCAGCTCCACAACCCCCTCCCCAGCTGCTGAGGGCGCAGAAGAGAGTAGGACCGGAGTACCTGCCGTGATGCCCAGAATGGGCCCAAGGTGCCGTTAGGAACCGGAGTGAGCAAGTGGGGAGCACCTTCCTGTCCCATCCCTTCTGCCCTGTCCCATCCCCCTCCTGCCTCGACACCCCAACTTCCTCCTGTCTCTCCCCACTCCCCGTGGGATGGACAGTGCGCTACAATCTCATGGTCTATACAGGAAAAAACAATCACCCCCCACAAAACCCAAACAATGAACTGGAACCCCCAGAAAAAAAAAACAGCCAAAATCCTGACTGGTTTCTCACCTTCTCTGTGGCTGTGAGCGGGGGGGAAACTATAATTGTGAACGCAGATTAAGGTATTTACCACAACCAGCTACAGAACACATACACGACGGCCTGGGTTGGCTAATATACATTTATATGCTAGCCAGCCCGTATCGTATTAATAGTGGGCCTTAGCCACACCGTTTCTATATGCTAGTAAGCATTAAGCACCACTAGCATGAAGCTCAAATACTGTAACCGTGCTGTAGGCTAGGCTGGCCTGGACCAGAACCCTGTTCCCTTATGCCAAGTATCCCAGAACTCCATGCGTTTGCTGAAATAGGGATTTGGCAGAAGCCAATAGGAAACGTATCAAAGGCAAGATATGGTCATTCCATGGCCTAGTACAGGCTGGGAAGGAACTTCACGGCACAGGCCCTGGAAGGCTGGTCCCAACCCGGAGTTAAGGGAGGAACAGAACAGGTTAGAGAACTGGGACAAACCGAGGGGCTGGGTTCCAGTGACGTGGGAAGAAATTTGGAACTTGTAAAATCGTATCACCAGACCCGCTGAAACGTGTAACTAGGGGAGCAAATCTTCTGCATAGGGCGCCTGTAACGTGATTGCACAGGACGGCTTTTCGGCGACTGGTATAGTTTAGAACCTCTCTCCTGTAGCATATTAATAAACCCGACTGACACTGGTTATTTGGTCTCTTGGGCATATTTCATAACGAAATAATGAACCAAAGATTGGTCAAGCAACTGACTACACCTGTGGTTTTCAACCTGTGGTCCATGGACCCCTGGGGAGCCACACACTATGTCTAAGATTTCCAAAGGGCTCCCCTCCTCCATTTGAAATGTTTAGGGGTCTGCCAATGAAAAACTGTTGAAAACCACCAGGCTCTACGATTTCATCTGCTGTTCTTGCAGGGGATAAAGTGCACATTACACACAGTTTGCAAAGTAGAGTTAGATTGTGTCACGCTGCAATTCATAGCGTCTAAGGCAGAAGGGACCATTGCAAGTGGCAACTCCACGCCTTCTCAAACTATGGGGCAGGCCTCTCAACAGAGGTGCACAAATGTGTCAAGGGAGATGTGAGCTAGGGGCTTTTTTTCTTTTTAAGAGCTCTGCGGTGGCTGGGATTCATGCAGAAGGGCCGTGCACACCCCAGAGGTGGAGATAAAGGGGACAGCCAGAGCCCCATGATCCCCACAGTACAACCTGGAACTGATAGGGGGGCACTGCGGTCTAACTCTCCAGCCTGTGCTGTCTCTCACGCCATCAGCATGAATGATCCCTGAGCCACTCATGAAGCTTACGGAGAGAGACACCAGACAACCCTCCCAGCCTTGCACCCCTGCACTATACCATCTTACACGGCCCAAACTTCTCTTGGACAGCACAAACTCGTTAAGTAGTTCACCACTTTAACAAAGGAAAGTGGACATGCCCCAACCTTTGTAAACTGAGCTGAGATTCCTCGAGCTCTTCAACCAAGACAGATTTATTAACAGAGAGAGATGTTAAGAGATTATAAGTAGCAGGCACGGAGATCAGAGGTAGTTATGTTATGGTTCGTATAAGCCTCATCCTGTCTTGCCAGTTGGTCCTTCCCATAATAGTGACTATGAACCATCAGGGCCTCTGTCCCCGCCCGCTCCTTCTGCCAGGTGAGGGTCAGGTGCTGGAGTTTCATCCCAGGCTGGGATGGGAAGAGGCAGCTCAGGGTGACGTCCCCCCCAAACTGAGCAGTGACAGGTGACTTGGCTGCAATGAGCCCTGAAAGGGAAACAGAGTCAGGGGTACCGATGCCAGGCAGAACCTACCCCCCCGCCCCACCCTCATGACCCCACAAATCTCAGCTGCAGTTATACACAAGCATCACAATTTAGTTTACAGATGGAAGAATGGAGGCACAAAGGCAGCGAACTGACTGACTCAAAAGTCACCCAGACAATCAGTGGCAAAGGCAGGAAGAGAACCCAGGAGTCCTGGGTCCCATCCCCCTCCAGGGATACAACCCAGGAGTCCTGACCCCCAGACTCCCCTGCTTCCACCCAGTGGCTCCCAGCCTTGTCTCTGCCCAGGCCCTGCTCGGCTCCAGGGGCCGTGTCTGTGGGGCAGAGGCGGTGACTCAGCTCACACAGGAGGGGAGCGGGGGAGAGAGGGAGATTGCGCTCTGATTGGCTGCTCCGCCCCTGATATAGGCGGGGCAGTGAGGCAGATGGCCAATCAGAAGGCAGCTTTCCCCAGCCTGTGTTTTTTCAAACATTTGGCCGCGCACATGTTGTTGTTGTTGTGCGGGGGAGGGGCGGGGCTGCCGGGGCTCCTCCTGCCCCCCCCCCGCGCGTCTCCCCGGCCGGGCCGCGGCTCCAGGCGGGATTTGCCCCCCGCCCCGGGGGGAGCTCGGTGCGGCTCCCGCTCCCCGGCCCGGCCCCTCCCGCCCCGGCTCGGCGCACCCGGGTGGGAACCCCACAGGGGGCGGGGCAGGGACCCCCGCGGGGGCGGTTCTCACCCCACAGCGCCCCCCACGCGGCCAGCAGGGGCAGGGTGCGGCCGGAGCCCGGGACCATCGCGCTGCAGCGGGGCGAGAGCAGGTGGAAGAGACAAGGGGGGCGTTAGCAGGGGCTGGGCCCAGCGGCTGCCACCGGGGGGCTGGGCTCTGCCACTGCCCCATCGTATCCCCCCCCTTTCCGGTCCCCTGCCCGCGCCCCACACGCACCTGCCGGTCTCCGAGAGAGTGTCGGTGCCGGAGCCTGGGATCGGGGGGTTGAATCTGCCGCGTAAAAGCCTATTGCACAATCTCCTCCCTGTTCATTCCCTCTGAAGCACCTGGCACTGGCCACTGTCGGAAGACAGGATACTGGGCTAGAACATTTGATCTGACCCAGTATGGCCGTTCTTATGTTCTTATGAGCTTCAATGTAATGTTAAAATGATTAAGGGATGGCCCTTAAAATAAGGGACGGGTGGTCACCCTAAGAGCGGCACCATCCCACTGACAACCCCCCTTTGCACAGCCCCATTAGTGCCCCCTTGAACAAGCTGCCCTGGGCCACCACCTAGCCGCCCCACAGCTCACACCTAAAGCTGGCCTGGTGCAGCTGCAAGGAGCTCGGGGCCGGCTGCTTCTGACTGTCAAAGGCCCTGGGTATTTGATGCATGTTAAGGAGCCTGGCAACTGGCCTGGTTCTTCTACAGAGCCACTTGGGGCAACGTTTCAGGTTGAGCTGGTGATTGCAACACTCCCTAGGAGCCTCTCTCACTGCACGTGGGGTGGGATCAGCTGGGAGGTGAGCAGCGGGAGCTGAATCTAGAGTGGCTTCTCCATGGGCCCGATTATTATGAGTATGAGTAACCGTGTCTCTTTGGCGTGCCCGTTTATTCTGTGTATTGTGGTAAGTGTCTGCACGGTGTGCCCGTGTATTATGTGTATTATGGTAACAGCGGGAGGTCGCAGCGCCGATGGGACCACCGCTGTCGATGCTCCCCGCCCTCTTCCGGTGCCGCTCTAGCCCTCCCCTCTCGATGCTCTCACGGCGACGCTCTAGCCGCGCCCTGCCCCGCTCTCTTAGCCTGGGCGTCGCGTCCCCTCCATGATAAACCGTCACTTCCGGTGCCTCTCTAGCCCCATCCGTCTCTGTGGTTCCGCTCTCAGACTGTCGGTCTCAGGGTGAAAGTCACTTTCAGGAAGAGCCGCCGCGCGGGTGAGGCCGGGATCGCGGGGGGGGGGAATGAGGCCGGGACTGGGAGTGGGGATCCCCCTCCGCCCTGGCACCGGCTGTCCGTGGGAACCCCCGCCCCGAGGACTCGAACCCGGGCCCCTCGCGCGGCCAACCCCCCTCCCGGAACTCGGCTCAGCCCTCCCCGGGATCCGCGGCCTTGCGCCGGCGCCGCGGGGGGAACCCGCCGG